AAAAAAAAGAAAATGAAAGTATCAAATGAAGAAAAAAAGTGAAAATATGAACCTTGACGAGCACCGTGACCGGATCACCAGAGTCTGGTCGAATCACAAGGCATCCATGTGCACCTCTAGCAATCACTTCATCGCGTAGCTGCTCACCCCAGATAGTAGAAACAGCGTGGAAGACGTCATAGGAGTCAGAAACTACAGAGATGAGCCCTGTAAAAGTGAATTACTCCTGTACCACTCTATGGAGATATATTTTCTCAACAATAATTAGCTTTGCATCCTCTCATGAAAATATCCTAACTTCTCTTACTAGCTTGTGAATGTTCAGTCATGATCGGCCACCTTAATTAATTGTAGCCTTTGTCTCTTTTCCACCTTATTAACTACTGCGTATTTGCTATTAAAAAAAAACAAAACGAAACAATAACGGAAACTCACCTCTAGGATACCGCTGCAGCATATTCCGAAAAGCCGCTAGCTCTCCTGACTTCTTCCAGGTTGTTATAGTACTGTAAGTTCTCCTATAGAGATTGAGGTGGACCTTTCATCAGAAGTAACAACCTATGCTCTGTAGCAGGAATACTGAACCCGGCCATTTTACAAGAATAGTACTTCCGACAAAGCTGTAAGCAAGCTATTGTATCAGTGCCCATGAAATTGACCATGTGTGCGGTCCCGCCAATGCCGGCACTCTTAATTTTAATTGTAAAATTTAGCTATAGTTAAGGCTAACTTCAAAACTGAGACCATAGTGCCTACCTCAACTGAAGTTGAACCTCTATATCCAAAATCGTGCAACTTGAATGGTAAACTTTCTATAGAATCACTAGTAGCATCCAAATATTTAGCAATCAACTGTTTATAAGCTCTTGAACTTGTACAAACTGTCATAGGATACCAAGCTTGTACGAGCAACGTCTACAATAAATAAATCAGGAAAAAAAGAGGTTGGCAAAAAATCTAAGAAACAAACCTCAAACCAGTTTGTTAACCATGGAACTGCAGGATCTGTATTCTCAATTGTGAATAATACATTTTTTATTGGTACTACGCTCCCTTCAGGAACAGCTTTAATACGTAAAGGAAGACGTCCACCATGTTTCTACAAAAATCAATTACATAACTCATTCTAAGTTAAAAAAAA